TTCGTTGAGAAAGTTCTTCAATTTTTTGGTCAAAATTCTGTTCATGCATTACCAATTGTGTTTTGACAGCAGATAGGATGTCATTTTGTCTCTGTTGATTTTTATTATCAGATATTGATTGTTGTTGTGTAAGATTATCAATCACGAATTGACGCATTTGATCTTGTGATTCATCAATTTTTTGTGTGAGTTTCTCATTTAGTTTAATCATTTCCTCAGCTTGTGTTGTCTGAGTGATCTTAATTGAGTTAATTTCAATCTGGAATTTATTTTGATTTTCACGATTTTCTGAAATTTGAGTTTCTAGCGCGTTTCTGCAAGCTTGAATTTTTAGGCTATTAGCATCAATTTTATCATTGAAGCTTTGAGTGAGTTCAACTTTTAATTCATTAAGTTTGCTGTTGATTTTATTATCAATTTCTGCTTTAATTTCCGTATTTGATTCGTCAATTTTGTTGCTCAATTTAGTATCTAGTTTAGTCATGAGAGCAATTAAAGTATTAATATCTGATGGTGCAATTAGTGCTGACGTGACAGTAGTATTTGTTGTCGCTGTTTCACCGACAGTGACGCTAGGATTGTCAAGTCGTTGCCGTGTTGGTAGGTCTAGGTGGCGTTCGTCGGCTTCGGCTATGTTCGGTAACGATCGGCTGTGTTCGGGTGCGGGTGTCTGGGTTATTGATCCGCTAATGTGACCTTGGCTATCACCTGGCATTTTGGAAACATTCAGACTTTGTTTACTGGACAGTTCAGTGGCAACATTTGCAAACAGACTTGTAGGAATGGGAATACTAGTGTCTGATTGGTCCATGGACTCGTTGCTTTCTTCCTCTGTGAGTTCTGATGTCTGCTGTGGATGTGTTTTTTGTTCTGTGTCCGTGCGTGTGATGTCATCAAGATGGCGACCTTCTTCTTCAATCTCGCTCTCGCTGTCAGTGTTGTTGTAGTCGTAATTTGGGTTTAGGTTAGAATTTTTACGGTTGGGTCTTAAATTATAACCTTTCTCGGCCATGATTAATTATTGTACTAATTATGCGAATTGTGCGTGATTAGTTAGTGTTTTGTATAACGGCTTTGTGTTGTTATTGGGGTTGGGAATATTAATTACGGGACGTACAATAGGCTATGGGTTCTTACAATCTAGTACAACTTAAGGTTAAATTAGCTTAGATCGAAAATTGCAATATTTTATGACTACCGTAATATATCATTCGAAAGCCGACACGTTGGGTCGCCAAATTTGCTACATACCATAAAGCTTTCTATAGACTTTCATTAACTTAGGCCCACAAAATTCCTTCGGCTATTAAGTTAGCCCACATTGAACTCCAAGTCATTTCTTTCTTAATAAAGATAATTCCTAATTTGTGTTTTATTTCTGTCTAATGAGGTAAGTCTTTATCTTAAATTGATAAAATATGAATAATTTTAACAATAAATAGATTTAGTAGGTTACAATATAAAATTTATTAATGAAATACAAGATAAGTTATTGGTTGAATTAGCTACAGGGTAAGTTAACAATGGTAAATTTTCAAAATGGTGGGGTTTCCAAAGTGGATGATATTATTCTAGGCTTATATTGGGTTGGTTTCTTCTGAAGTACTAATTAATATTTAAATAGGCTATGAGCTCTTAATCTCAGGGAGGGGTGGTCGTGGCGGTTCGAATGATATATTAGGCTTCTTTAAAATGTAGATAATTTAATTTAGTTATTATTCTGAAATACTAGGTTCGTGATGCTATTAATATAATAATGTTAAATGTCCAAAGAAAGATTCCAAATGGTTTCACTGAATTTAATGAAATAAAATAGAATTTGAAGATTAAATTTTGAATAAAAGTTCAATTTGAAATATATATATATCTTTATGAGTTAGGTTAATTGGGCCTAGTAGGCTATGCTGATTAAATGTCCAATGAAGATTAAATTTGTCCTTAGTTAAATAAGATGGATTATGGTTACCAAATTTGGAGTGTCTGTCTTCTTATAAATTGGTACTCTTCAATGCACTTGTCCAATACTTTTGGATGATGAGAAATTTAAATTTTAGGTTTTACTTTGGGATTATGAATTTTAGTTTAAATTAAACACAATTTCCAATAGAATGATGTTCACACTGTGAAGAGTTGGCAGGATCTGAGTAGAGGCAATGGTAGAAGCTCAGGAAGTCCATGTCCATTGTTGAAGTGATGTACAGCTGGTTAATTTACATGAATGACACTTGCCACAGTAATTTTGATTTTCTTTGGATAATTTTGAAAAGTGATACTATATTTAAGATGTTATTACTATATTGCAATTTTCTTACAATTATATATTATTCTAAATAAATGATTATTGTTGGTTTTTAAATAAGTACAGGATAGGTATGGAGAGAATTTGCATAAATATTATATTGTAACATAAAAAGAGATGATGTTTCTGTGGGGTGATGGGATATTATATAACATTGAACAAAATTTGATAAAATAACACATTAACAAGAAGAAACATATTAAATAACTGATAATACATTATCAGGGGCATTAACAGACATTATGAGAGAAAATATACAAAATAATAGAGAAATTAATGTTAATGATGAATGAATGACATGTAATATTACAGAGAGTGAGCTTACTTACCCTATGGTGCTGAAGCCTAAACCATATTTTCCTTTGTTCCTCCTGGGCCCATGACATGACAGAGTGACATGCATGCCCACGAGAGATTCCACAGAGAGGCTGTGGTCCCACGAAGTCTGAGGCTGACACGACATTTGCAAGCCTTTCAGCCACCTCGTTCCTTTCTATCCCTGAGTGCCCAGGAACCCAACAGAGTGTTACCTTGTTGCGCCTTCCCAGGTCGCATACTGCAGCGAGGCAGTCCCAGAGCACCTTGGAATTGAACTTGTAGGAGTCAAGCGCTTTGAGCTTGTCAAAGGCTGTCTGTAAAAATGGAAAGGTTGATGTCCCTGAAGCTCAGCCTCAGGTTCTCCCTAGCACATTCCATTATCACAGTTATTTCGGCCTGGAACACTGTTGGGTGTGTACCCATGGGAAGACAAATGTCCAACCCAGTTCTGCACTCCATGAATTCCAGCCCCTGTCCCACTTCTTACCTTTGAACCGTCAGTATACCCTGCTGAAGCTGAAATGTGGAAGAGGATTCCCACCCGACATCCATTCATCCCTGGATGGATGGAGGATGGTGAATGGCCTGGCGAAGAAGAATCGAATCGGCATGTGGTCCAAGGGCATGTCCAGTAACTCCCCTCTTAACATCTAAATGATCCGAGAGTGACCTTTGGATCAAACCTAGTCATTGTACAGTATGCAGTTTGTTTTAGTTTATCTAATAACACTTTTGACCTAGAGCAACAACCATTTTTTATTCAATGATGTATTTTTTTTCTATTGCAAGAGATGTAAAATGCCACATGGTTAAAACATATTATAGCATGTTCAAAATACAGTGCAAACTTGAAATTCAACATACTTTTCACACCTAGAATAATGTTAGGTAACACAAATTGCCAAAATTGGTTCTAATCTTGGGACTTTTACCTTGGAGGTGGTGGGTGTTTTGACTAGTTTTGAGTCATCCAATTCTTAGTGGCCAGCAGATTTTGGTAGGCTACAATAATTGAGGGGCATTAGTTGTTAGTATTATGGTATTACCATTGACTATTTGATACTGAATCGTACTAATCCTACTAATATTATAAATGAGAAAGTTTGGATGTATGGATGTATGTTTGTGACAAGTAAACGCGAAAAATACTGGTCTGATCGGGCTGAAATTTGGTGTGATGATAGTTCACATTCCCGATTAACATATAGACGCATTCTTATCTCAAAAGTCCTTTCGGGCTCCGCCCCAGTGGCTCTGGAGTTTCCCATGTTAACCTTATGAGTAATCATATTTAAAAGGAATAAAAGAATTTTGTTAGCTGTTTCAACTACACAAGTTGGGTCTATGATATTAAATAGCATTAAAAAGTTATAAGGTTTACCAACAGGGTGCAGTACTATTAACTTTTTTGCATTTTGTGTCCTCTTCCATTTGCAAAGCACGGGTACAACAGCTAGTATTATAAATGAGGAAGTTTGGATGCATGGATGTATGTATGTTTGTGACAAGTAAACGCAAAAAATACTGGTCGGATTGGGCTGAAATATGGCATGATGATAGCTCACATTCCCGATTAACATATAGGCATATTCTTATCCCAAAAATCCTTTCGGGCTCCACCCCAGTGGCTCTGCAGTTCCCTATGTTAACCTTATGAGTATTCATATTTAAAGGGAATTAAAGAATTTAGCCAGCTGTTTCAACGAAAAGAGTTGATTTTATATGTTATGCAAAAGCATTAGATAAGATTTTTATAACAGGGTGCAGCACTATTATTTTTTTCATTGTTTATGAAAACAGGTAATTTGAACTAAGGAGCTACAAAATAACTGTGATACGCAATGAGAACTGACAAAGTAGAATTGTTTTATGTTTATGTTTTTAATTTCATGAATAATTTGTGATATTTTGAGAATTTTTAATAATTTATCTTCCTCTATTGTGTGGGTAAAGTGGTAGAACATTATGGCTATGGTAGATATGTAATACTATAGCATACTGTAAATTTGAGGAAGCAAATTTTCTCAAACCGTGTCTTCTCACATTGCAAACGCAAAGATCAAGTATAACTGCAACAAGCATTTTATACTTATTTGCCAACCCCGTGCGAAGGACGGGTAGGCCTACTCTGCTAGTAGTAAATAATAGTCAAAGATATTACCAAACCATCACATGAAGCAAATTTTAAGATTTTAATATAAAACAAGAATGAAGCAAGATTTACTCTCATCAGTATGGGAACAGTACAGAATGAGTGGATGTGGATACACAAATTTGTATTTGTAATGGTTCTTTTTAGCCTCTTGAGGATGAATTTCGATTATCATGGATCTGGAAAAGTTTATACTTTAACTTTATAATATAAAAGTTTTATTTGTTGCAGGAACAAGTTCATATTAGTAGAATCACTTCATACTTGAAACAGCTATTCAGAAAATAAAAGGTGTTCGTGCTCAAAGATGTGGTATGCATTGCAATTAAAACTATTGCCACTGTTAGTTTATTAAATTAATTTATTGTACTGGTGTGAAAAATCCTTAATCCAATACATGTATTGTGAAGATAGTGTGTTTTTAGTCCATAACTCAAATATATATCTACTAGAGAACCCGTGCGGCTCAATGAGCCGCATAGTATGAAACATAACACAGATGAAAACCTTATGATTAAATTCGAGTAACTACATCTTAGGGTTTGAAAACTTGTTAGAAAACTAATTTTAAATATCTCTATTGGTTTGCCTACATCATTTCTGCTCTCAGTTCTGATAACTTCCAATGAATGCTAAACGATCTGCCTCAATTTGAGTTAACATGTTGCAACAAAGTTTTTCTACATTGAGAATTGAAGAACACTGTTACCTTACTGATAACCTGTCTTAAGTAATTAAAGTTGGGTCATTTTATTTCTTTGATTTGAGACATCCCCCTGATCAAACAAATTTTCTCCGTAGAGTAACCTGAAAAGTGGGGCGATGTCAACCATTTCATGTGCTCCATTTGTTACCCTCAAACTTTGGGTTACCAACTGGACAGCCATAATTTGCTTTGAATACGCTAACACAGCAACACCATTGAAATTTGGTTAACGTAATTTAACGTGTTGTCTGTCAGTCATGGTATAAGCCCCACATCAGAACGTTCTCACGTTGTTCAGTGCAGTATCTCTTAATACCTGTCCCAAAGTTTTGAAAGTATGTATACATTAGTCGAAATAGGTTGGATAACTCTTGTAGCTATATGTACAAGCTATATGCTTTGTTTGTGTCAAACATGTTGTATGGAATAGAGTTCTGGGGCAGCTGCTCAAATGCCGAAACCATTTTCAAAATTCAAAAAAAGATCCTTAGAATTATGACTTTTTCAAAGCCTAGGCAATCCTGTAAATTATTATTTAGAGAATTGAAAATATTAACACTTCCGTCTGTTTATATCCTGCAAACATTAATATTTAAAAAAAATCTTGAATATTTTATGAATGAAAACCATTATCATAATTATTTAACACAACATCGAAATGATTTACAACTGCCCACCTCAATAGAAACCCTTCCACAATACCTAGGGAAAAAACTGTATAATAAACTTCCTGATAATATTAAATCATTAGAATCTTTTGAAAAATACAAAAAAGAAGTTACCAAATTGCTGCTTAATAAAGGGTATTACAAAGTTGATGATTTTTTAAATGATGTATATATTTGATTTCTTAGCATATTGTATAGTTATTATAGTTGTATTTATTTTAATTGTCCATGACCATTTCACCTGTTTCCCAGCTATGCTGGATCTGTAAAACGTTATGTGAAAATAAATGATTGACTTGACTTGACTTGACTATAATATTTGGATAGCAATTTTAATTTTCTCTTTTTGAACAGCGTATATTATTTGCCTCTCCTGAATCATAAAAATAAACTTGACCGTAACTACTCGATCGTTCAATACATAAACACTCATTCCTTCACTTATGTATGGTCTAATATTGCCACTAAAACTTTCAATAGCAAATGAGTTTTTGAAACTTCTTATTTTTTACTTGAAATGTCTGGACTGTGTTGGTGAATTCATTAAAAAAACTTTGTATAAGTTTGGAGTTTCCCATTATTACTGAAAGTTTATCTACATACAGCAGATCTATGTAATAATAATTATTCACTTAAGCGTTCTCTTCCCGTTGCGAAGCACGGGTATGGTGGCTAGTATGATATAGCTGAGGTCAAATTGTGGATTTTTTATCATATAAATTTTTTTACCCTTTGGTTGCCAAAGGCCGGTTAGATCGGCTTTTCAGTAGTTCATCGCTAAGTTGTCGACGATACGGATGAAGATCCAGATTACGACACAAGCCCAATTCCACAGCCTAGATTTTCTTTTCTAATACCTCGTCGAAGTGTAGGTCTCGCCACGAATGGTCCTGGGACTCCTGGGAGTTCCCGTGATGGACTTTTCCCAGTGACATTGTAATAGACAGGCCTTCAGACTATAGTTTGGAAGAGGATGTAGATGATCCAGTTAAAAGGTTTATTAATTTGAAGTGTTTCAAATAATAAATGTCTTATCAAGAAGAAAAAGATGTTTGTACGAGTAAATAATTCATTAGGTCTATTTATTAGCAACATTTATTTGATTATTATTAGAATGTATAGTTTAATACAATTTAGTACCTCATTACACAACGCTTGTATAAAAATATTAATTGTAAATTAACTAATTAACCCACTAAAACAATATAAGTTTATAAATAATTATTAATAATACTCCAAGAAAGAATTTGAAAAAAAGTTTTTTGTTACAATAAAAATATAAGTTTATTTTAGAAATTTGTGCATTATTCAATTTTCTGGCTAAATATATTAAAACCTTTTCGCAATGGTTTGCCAGCTCAGTAACGCCTTAAAAAAATTGCTAGGCAGGTTCCAGGGGCCATCTCGTAACTCGGCTACTCGGCACATATGGCCTACCAAGGGAAATGAAATGATATATTACTTTATTATCACAAAAGCATTTCACAGATCCAGCGTTAGCTGGTGAAACAGGTGATATTGTCGGAGATCTTAAACACTACATAACAAAACTAAAATCCACATAGCTTAAACTAAAATATATTTACTTATCATTTAAATAATCAGAAATCTTATAATAATTTTTCTGTAAAAGGTATCCTTTAAAATCATTTTTAAATTTTGAAATACTGTTAATTTCTTTGAAATTAGTGGGTAGACTGTTGTATAGCCTTAATCCCATATAATAAGGAGATCTTTCATATAAACATAGGCGATGTCTTGGATACTGACAATTTTTTGAGCGTGTAGGATACGGATGACTGATTTGTTTATCATTGTACATTTGATAATTAATTTTAAAATTCAACATCATTTTAAATACATAAAGTGAAGGCAAAGTTAATATCTCATATTTAGCAAATAAAGCTCTGCATGAGGTTGTTTTAGGCATAAATGATCAAATCTTTATAAATTTCTTCTGAATTTTGAAAACTGCTTTAGAATAAGAAGTTGCTCCCCATAAATCAATCCCGTATTGTAAGACAAAAAAGAACATTGCATAGTACACTGTGAGTTTAGTTTTTAAATCTATTACATTTCTCAAAACATACATTTGAAAGCAAGCCGTATTTAATTTACCAACTACCATTTTTATGTGTGTTTTCCATGTTCAATTCTTATCGATATCTAAGCCCAAATATTTTGCATTATCAATTATCAATCAATTATCAATTATCAATTATTTAAGATGGGGACGCCACTATGTGCGTATTTTAACCCAAATATGAGTGAAGGATGAGTGTAGGATGAGTGGCGCGATCTTGTAGTCTTGTTAGTGACTAAGGCCGACATGTTCCTTAGACACAGCTGTTAATTAATAGCCCATACAGCTAATGGCAACTAAGGGACCTACAGTTTATTGTGGAATCCGAACCACATTTTTTCCTCGTAATTAACGAATTGGTCTAATTATTTAGGATAGTACTGCGGATAGTCGTAGTACTCACTAGTGCGGACGTTAATCCACACCAGGTAGCATCGCATCCACAGTGCATCCCTATAATTATCCACAATTCGTGACCTCCTAGTAGCTGGATTACAGGACGACGCCACCCGTCCCAGTCAGTAAAGGATATAATATTATTATCATAAGATAGTTCAACAGTGGAGTTTTGCCTATTCTGAATTGTTTGAAATAACATCACCTGTGTTTTAGAATTATTAAGTTTTAGCCCGTTGGCTGTAAACCAATTAGATAAATTAAGAATAGAAAGACTGATTTCTTGTTTAAGATTTTGCAAATTATTTGATTTAACTATTGCTGTAGTGTCATCAGCATATAAAATAAGGTTAGACGATACATTTCGAGGTAAGTCATTAATAAATATTAAAAATAGCAAGGGGCCTAGTATTGACCCTTGCGGAACCCCACATTTAGTGTTAAGCCACTGTGAAAAAAATTTTTTACAATCATTTACGATTATTGTTCTTTGATGTCTGTTAGTCAAATATGAATGCATTCAAGACAGAGCCATATCAGAAAATTCATAATATTTAAGTTTACTCATTAATATATTGTAATTTACACAATCAAATGCCTTGGATAGATCACAGAACACCGCAGCTGTGCTCTGAGACCCATCCAAGCCATCAGAAACCTGATTTATGAAATCTGAGACAGCAGATATAGTGTTTTTCCCAGATCTAAAACCATATTGTTTATTGGTAAATAAATCATTATTTTCGAAATATGAATAGATTTGGTTGTAAGCAATTTTTTCAAAGATTTTAGACAATGATGGGAGTATTGAAATAGGACGATAGTTATCGGGATCCATTACTGAGCCTTTTTTGAAAAGTGGTTTCAGCTCAGCATTTTTTTATTGATAGGGAAAAATTCCTTTATCAAAACATTGATAGATTACTAGACACAGAGGCTCTGCAATATAGTTTATGATGTTTTTTATTAATTCAATAGGAATTTCATCCCACTTAGAAGATTTTTTATTTTTTTAATTGCTAATGGTTTTTTTTAAATTTATAAAATCGATACATGTCTGAACTGAAATTTCATTCTTATATTATTACTAAGCCCCATTGGCACTTAGCTATACGAGGCTTTTTAAATGAATCCCTTCCTCATCGCTGGATAGGTCGCAGGGGAAACGATGACCTAGCTCTACACTTCTGGCCACCGAGATCTCCTGACCTCACCCCATGCGACTATTTCTTATGTTAAATATGTTAAGGAAGCTGTTTACGTTTCGCCTTCACCAACAACTATGGACGATCTGCGGAACCGTATCACTGCTGCCGTGCACTCAATAACACCAGATACGCTTTCTCGCGTGTGGGATGAGTTTGGCTACCGTGTTGATGTTTGCCGTGCAGCAGCCGGAGGCCACATTGAACACTTGTAAGGTATTAAAAAAAACTTTAAAACTTTCTCTTTTCATTGGTATAAAGGTTGTTCATTTTGCATTTTTACTTTAATAAAATTTTTACTTTTGAAAATGGGTCATTTAGAATAACCCTGTACTATTAGTCACCCAGCTT